CATCTCCCAGCAGCTTATCTCCCCTTTATCCTGTTCCTCTCCTAAAGTTACTGTTTGGGACTAAAGCCAGCAAGAGCCGCCCACATACTTTGCCCAAGTAACCATTCTTCCTGTGAGAGTACAGTGAAGGCCAGTCAGCAATGCAAGCAAGAGTGGCATTGCAATCCATTCCGTTCCCCAACCCCCTTACCCCCTACATTTATACATGTGCATTTTCCAGAAAGGGGGCAGGATAAGAATCAGGAACAAGATTCCAAGGATTTTTTTTTTATTCCCCTGAGTTCTGATTTAGTGAAACAGTAACTCTGTTTCTTTCTGGTTCTACCTGACCTACTGAATGTTTACAACCATTTCTGTTTTTATCACATTTTCAGCATGCGCAGTGTTCCGTATTTTGTTCCAACTCTCCCTTTCCAGAATGGATTGGGGCACTGGAGCAAATAACAGGGATCCGTCCTGCTAACAGTAATTCAGTTCGAATGGTGCACCCCAAAACTGCAACGCGATACGATGAAATCACCTCACAGCAGCAGCTGCTGTCTCACGTATGAGACTTTAATTCATTCTTTGTCCTTTTCAAGGTGACACTACTCTCTTTCTGTTTCAAATATCAGAGCCCCATGAATGTTTCTTCTTGCAAGGCCTCATGTTGAGTATTCTTCAAACTAATTGAACATTTCCCTTCCTGAGTCCATAGCTCCCTGAAAGTGGAAACACAAGTGGATGAGATGGTAAATAAGCATACAGCATGCTTGCCTTCATAGGTCGGAGCATTGAGTATAAAAGTTAGCAAGTCATGTTGCAGCTGTGTAAGACTTTAGTTAGACCACATTTGGAATATTGTGAGCAGTTCTGGTAACCACACTATAGAACGATGCAGAGGCTTTGGAAAGGGTTTGCTAGGATATTGCCTGGATTGGAGTGTATGAGCTATAAGGAGAGGCTGGACAAACTTGGATTATTTTCACTAGAGCATCGGAGGCTGAGGGGTTACCTAACAGAATATAAGATATCAAACTATGAGGGGCATGGAACGGGTGGATAGTTGGAGTCTTTGTCCCAAGGTTGAAATGTCGAATACCAGGGAACATAGATTTACAGTGAGAGCAGAAAGGTAATGTCGAGGCAAGAGGGTGGTGGGTGCCTGGAATGCAATGCCAGCGGAGGTGGTAGAAACATATACGATAGCAACTTTTTAAAAAGACATTTAGTTAGATACATGAGCAGGCAGGGAATAGAGGGAAATAGACCATGTGCAGGCAGATGGGATTAGTATAGAATGGCATCATGGTCAGCACAGACATTGTGGGCTGAATGGCCTGTTCTTGTGCTGTATTATTCTATGTTCTGTGTTCCATGTCCTCCTACACCTTATTTGAAAGAAGGGGAAGGGAAGGCTCTCAAATGAAAACAGAAAATGCTGGAACCATGCAGCAAGGTCAGGCAGTGCCTGTGGAGGAGAAACATTCCAGCTCAATGACCTTTAATCAAAACCAGAAGAAGGCGGCTTGTTGTGGAAGGTGACATTACCAGAACTGATGTGGTGGAGTCAGAGAACTTGTGAGAATTAATTTGCTGCCAGTTTTCAAGAGCACAAGCTATTTGGCCCTTTCACTTCACCACTTAATAAGACATCAGCTGATCTAATCATGGCTTTAAGCCTGTTCTGAGGAAGGGTCATTCGACCCGAAATGTTAACTCTGATTTCTCTTCACAGATCCTGCTGAGCTATTCCAGCAATTTCTATTTTTGTTCCTGATTTACAGCATCCACAGTTCTTTTGGTTTTTGTGGCTTTAACTCCACTTCCCTGCCTATTCTTTCATAAACCTTAACTCACATATTGATCAAACAGTTACCCAACTCAGCCTTGAATGTATGCACAGGCCCAGCCTGCATTGCTCTCTGGGAATGGGAATTCTACACGCTATCGACACTCTGAGAGTGCAAAATTCTCCTCATCTCAGTGTTAAATAGGAGACATGTTATTTTAAACTGTGTCCTCTTGTTTTCCCCATGAGGAGAAACATCCTCTGACCACCTACTCCACTCAGGATATGATTTTTTTTTATTATTCGTTCACAGGATGAGGGTGTTGCTAGCTAGGCCAGCATTTACTGCCCATCCCTAATTACCCAGAGGGCAGTTTAAGAGTCAATCACTTTAGCTGTGGGCCTGGCGTCACGTGAAGGCCAGACCAGGTAAGGACCGCAGTTTCCCTTCCTAAAGGACATCAGTGAACTGAATGAGTCTTTCCTAACAATCGATTCACAATCATCATTGGACTCTTAATTCCAGAATTTTTTTGAATTCAAATTCCACCATCTACCAAGGTGAGATTTGAACCCAGGTCCCTCAGGGGTTTCTGGAATAGTTATCTAGCGATAATACCACTTAGCCGACTGACCTAACCAAAGCACTATACAGAAAACTTGTGACACCTATAGAAACCAGTGTCATCTCTGCGTAATTCTGAGATATAACATTTTATATGCACATGTCAGCATTTCATCAGATGCCTTAACTGTGGAGATCTGATGTTCAGGACACAGACACAGAGGACTGACTCCTGGTGGTATAGAAGTATAAGATCTTAAGTTGAAGGCAGATTGATGGATGCCTATTTTTAGGTGCCCACAAAGCCATTATTTCTAGTTAAGACACGGGCTGGTAAGAGGGAAAGGTACAGTTGGATACTTTCTTGTAATTGTAATTGAGTGGCTACTGCCCCTTGTCAGGGAGCATCTCAAGATCCAATCAAGATCAACAAAAAGACATTTTTCTTATCCAGTTGTTGCACAGTGAGGAGTTTCGAAACCAGGTAGAAGAAAGTGGTGGTAACCAGTGAAGACAGATTGAAGATTATTGCCAAAAGAGCAAGAGGGGAGATGAGGAGACCAATGTCAATTCTTGCATCTACAAAGTCTGGAATTTCTGAAAATGGAAGCAAATTCAATAGCAATTTTTAAAAAGGAATTGGATAAATACTTGAAGCCCAAAGCCATTCATGGGACCAAAGAGGAACTAATTGGATATGTCATTCCAAGGCCAAGCACAGTCATGGTGGGTGAATGGTCTTCTATGCAGTATGATTCTATGAATATTATCAAATGAGGGTGGTATGGTGGCTTAGTGGTTAGCACTGTTGCCTCACAGTACTAGTGACTCACATCCAGTTCCAGCCTTGGGCAACTGTCTGTGTGGAGTTTGCATGTTCTCTCTGTGTCTGCTTGCATTTCCTCTGGGTGCTCTGGTTTTTCTCCCACAGTCCAAAGATGTACAGGTTAGGTGAATTAGCTATGCTAAATTGACCTACAGTGTCCAGGGATGTGCAGATTAGTCATGGTAAATGTAGGGTTACAGGGATGGAGTTGGAGGGCTGAGTCTGGGTGGGATGCTCATTGGAGGGTTTTGCCTTGTAAGGTTCCCTCTGATTGCAACAACATCTTACATTTAAATGGCAGCTTTAAACTAATAAGATGTTGTTAGGCATTTCACAGGGGTGGTATCCAAAATAAAAATGGACACCAAATCAAATGGGAATACAACTGAACAAACATTTGGTTAAGGAGGTAGATATAAAGGAACAACTTAAAGGAAGAGAGAGATGAGACAGAGGTGTTAACAGACGATCAGAGCTCAGTCCTGGAGAGCTGAGACATGATCAATAAGTTTGGGGAAAATATTTCTTCCTAACAAACCATTCACAAATTCACATTTATATTTTCGCTTTTCAGAATATCTCAATTAGAGAGACTCTTTTCTCTGAAGGTTTGTTAAGTATTGCTGTGTAGGTGAGAGCAGTAGTTCTTCTGTGAACAGCAAGATCCCAAGACAACAATGGAATGAGCAGTTAACCAGTTTGTAATGGGAGTTGGTGGGTAAGGGTAGCAATGTTGGCCAGTAAACCTGACCACTGGATTGAGAAGGCTGTTGAGTGAAACACTTTCTTCTTGGAAATATAATCCTATTGCAATAAAAATACATAAACTAACATCGGTCTGAACAATATTGATCGCTCATTTTGTTCTTTGGCTAAAAGTTGGTCTGACCCATAAAACGATGACCTCCACCACAGGGTCAGGTAAGGAGTCAGGCCCCAGAGCTGAAAGGGGATTGAACCCTGTACTATTGGAACTGATCCACACCAGGCACTTTGCCCAGCGCCCTGCCCAAGTTGTCTGAGTTGCTATAGCTACGTGTACTTTCTACATGTTTGTTGTACTCTGGAGCCATGGAGAGTGTGGGTGGAGGCTGCATCTTCTTTCCTTCACACACGATTGAACAGGCCGCCATAGGCGTGTGCTGGGAGGCTTCACAAGTTGATTAATTGTTTGGCCGTATTATGGGTGTGTCTCGCTTAACCGTCAGGTCCCGAGTGCGACTTGATCCCGGACCTGAAAACATTCCGATATTGCATAAATGCTGCCCCCTCCACATTTCACCTCAGCTTTGATGAAGAGTCACTTAGACTTGAAATGTTAGCTGGCTGTCGGTCCACGGATGCTGCCTGACGCGTTGTAATTTGCAGCATGTTTTGTTTTCAGTACAGATTCCAGCATCTGCAGTAACTTGCTCCTATCTTGATATCGGAGCTCCTGCCTCAGAGGCAGAGACATTATAAATGGGCCACGAAACCGTCGATGGCACTGATTTTATTAAGAGACAAATGTACCAGTCTAATTCAGACCCTGAGTCCTTAAGCAAACGTCTACCTTCTAAACAACACATAACGCTCCTCGACACATCTCAACCTGTTAATTAATCTGATAATGAGGATTTCATTTATAAATACTGCAGATATTGGAAATCTTGAAACCAGGAGATATTCAGCAGGTCAGGAGAGATACAGAGTAACACGTTTCAGATTGATGACTTTTATTCCAAAGAGCTTGTCTAAGAAAGACAATATTCCTAATACAGCTTTGTCACCTTGCAAGTGTAAAAATAAGGGAAGGAAAAAAAAACATTCAGTGGAGTTTCTGCTTGTTAGTGAATTGGCTGGCGGTTCACTCAATGGCTGGAAGTTTATTCTTCTGCATTCTTTTTGTGTCGGCCAAACGTGTCCCGAGTGTCCCTGCCCCTTTAATGGAGAGAGAGAGAGGAAAGCGAGTGAGAGAGCTCTGGTGGGCGATTGCTGGACGTTTCACACCTTGGGGCTACACAGGGAGGGAGGGAAAGAGACAAGCAGCTCCTGAAAACAGCCCCGCCGATCTGATTGCACAGTCAAACCCCCTTCTCCCGGAGGTTCCTCTCAGTCACTTCAAACTGCAGCTGGGAAACAGTGCGTTCGATTCCCACTTCCCCCACAACCTTCAGTGGGACAGGCAGGGGTGGTGGGAGGCGACATTAATGCAAAACCGACAGATTAACAGAAACAGGTAACTAACTCTCAATCCTTGCTGGGGTACAGAGACAATCATGGGCTTGCTCTAAAGAAATTGTTTACACTCACCATTGAGCCGTCCATTGTTGAAACTTTTTTTTGGGGGGGAAAAGAAATTATGAAATTGAAAGTTAAAATAGTCACTGATTCGGGGGATGGGGGTAGAAGATTTTTTAATTGAGCGGTTTAATATTTAATTTACTTCCACCCAGGGCTGTTTGTTTGGTCTGTTTGCCCCCCCCAGGGGGCAAATATGAGGCGGTTGCCACGGGTGGGATTCTTCTGAAATTGACACAGTCTCCTTTCTCTCTTTAGTCAGTTTCAAAGCGGATCTCCGGCGCCAGGCATGGCCAAGTGGCTGAGGGATTATTTAAGTTTCGGGAGCCGCCGTCTCCCCCCACAGCCTCCCAAACCCGACTACACTGAGAGTGAGATCCTCAAAGCTTACCGAGCCCAGAGGAACCTGGATTTCGAGGATCCGTACGAGGAGAGTGAGAGCAGAGGCCGGGCTCCAGACACTGAACACTCGCTCGGAGTCTCTCCCCAGCACCAGAAACCTGCCAGCCCCGATATCAAGTATGTTTCCCCCAAACACCGCCTCATTAAAGTGGACAGCACCGAGCTGGGTAACAGGCCAAAAATACTGAGCGCAGAGGAGCCGAAGAGCAAAGCTGAGGCGGTGAGTACCCACATTTCTATCTCTCCAGTCACTTTCCCATTCCAGGTTCTGATTTTCTGTGTAAAACTTTGGGGGAATGTGCCTCTGCCTCGCAGTGCAACCCCACCCCCCCCGCCCTCTTCCCCCCCGTGCAACCCCCCCCCCCCGGCCTTCTGCCCCATGTCTGTTTGCTCCCCTGTTGCTGACCCACTCTGTCTCCCTCTCATTGTTGCCCGCACCTCGTGAGTCCTCTGCCCCAGCACACACTCTGTCCTCATGTTCTCTGCTGCTCCTGTCTCCCTCCCTCCCTCCATGGCCCTCTTAACC